TAAATAATAAAAATGTAGTAAATTCAAGTTATACTGGTGTACTACATTTCTACCAACATCTTAGGAATTTATTATGAGCAACCAAAACTATGACTCTTTAGATCATTTTTTCTGATTATAGAATCACTAGATGCCTATAAGATTATGAAACTTAAAAAATGTAAAGATAGAGAAAAAATTCTCCATAATCTTAACCAGCTAGAAACAACCACTATAGCCATTTCCGTTCTTCTATGGACACTCTCTTACAAGTGAGCAATAAAGCTAACAATTATTTATTAACCACTTCCTTTAAATTATTAAGCTAAGAACTTTACGAACACTTTTATTTTATCCTACAACAATCCTATTCAGTTAGACAGGTGACTATTGCCATTTTACTGATGTGGAAACTAAGGTATAAATGAGCCCACTGGCACAGAGGTTAAGTGCTCAGTTGCTAAATGAAAAGACTGCAGCAGTTCAAAACCACCAGTGTATCCACAGGGAAAAAAAAATGAAGATAACAGCCTTGGAAGCCAATGGGTCTGTTGTACTTTGTCCCATAGCAGAGTCAGAATCAACTCGAATCAGAATCACAATCAGCTCCATTGCAGAGGGCTTGGTTTTGGTATACCGAGGTTTTCAATGGTTAGGAAGCATGCTTCCGGTCATAAGGTCACAGAAGACAGATAAGAGAACTGAACTCAGCATTCTTAATCATTATACTATATACCACCATCACCATATGTACATTATTATTGTTGCTGTCCTTAAGTGCCCTTGTATAAATGTGTTTAAGACACAGGAAATTATTTAAGAGTAAATAGTACAATATAACATTGTGTGTGTATATATATACATATATATACACATAGAGAGAGAGAGCGCATGACAGAGTGTCTTAGTGTGGCACTGTGGGTTAATGCGATGGACTGCAAGGTCGGTTTGAATCACATGGTCAATGGTTCAAGCTCACCAGTTATTAAGTGCTGCTGAGTTGGTTCCGACCCATAGTGACCCTGTAGAGAGTTTCCGAGGAGCAGCTGGTGAGCTTATACCATCGACCTTATGGCTCAAACCAACCTTGTAGTCCAGCGCATTAACCCACAACTCATTAACCCACAATGCCACACCAGGACTAGATTAGATTAGATTAGATTGATAGATAAAATAGACAGATAACATTATACTCTAATCTTTGCTCTTAAGTAATTTCCTATGTCTTAGCGAACCTCAAGGTCAGCAGTTCAAAACTACCAGCTGTTCTGTGGGAGAAAGATGAGGCTTTCTGCTCCCGTAAAGATTTACAGCCTCGGAAACCCTGTACAGGTTCACTATGAGTCGGAACCGACTCCACGGCACACAACAACAACACCACAAACATTTATACACAATGTATAATTTTTAATGGTTATTTAATATGACACCATGTAGTTGTAGCCTAAGTTTAACCACTACTCTACTGGGTCAGATAATTTTGTATAGCATTAAGGACAGTGTGATTCACTCAATATGAAAAAACAAAAACAAACAAAAACTAAATGAATAATGCTTATCTACTTCTACATTTAAATTAAAATATATAATATTCAACTTACTCTTTTACTGAGGCAAATAACTGGCCACATACTGCAACCTAATGTGCAGCAGCAACAAAGGCAGCCACAAAGTAGCCAACGTACATTAACAGGAAGGTTCTTCTTAAGACAACTGTTGACTCTGTTGATACTGGCTTTAAATTCTTCAGGAGCTACCTAAAGGAAAATTTTAAGAAATAAAAACACTGCAATACTAAGGTCAACAAACATGACTTGTAAACATAATTTTTTTCTATTTGTTAGAAACAGAAAAGCTTTAAAGCAAACAAATCCTAAGTAACTGACACTCACTTTTCCAGTTAATGAAGAAGGAAATTCGGATTCAAACTTGTTGCTTAGTCCAAATCTGTATTAACAAAAAAAAGGGAACATGTTATTACATGTCATTGTTATAGAAAAAAATTTAGTTTTTTTATTAACTTAGTCAAAAGGCTTTTATTAACAGAATCACAACTTTTATATAATGATAAGAGGCTGAATGTTAATTAGCCAGCAGTATATAAACAGTCCTTGGAAACCCTATACAGGGTCGCTATGGGTCGGAACTGCCTCAACGGCACTTAACAACAGCAACAACATACAAACAGTATGACGAATTTATTTATATTCAGATGACACAACCTTGTTTGCTAAAAGTGAAGCGGACTTAAAGTACTTGCTGATGAATATCAAAGAGCACAGTCTTCAGTATGGAATATAACTCAATATAAAGAAAACAAAAAGCCTCACAACTGAATCAATCAATAACATCATGATATACAGAGAAAATTCTGAAGTGGTCAGGGAGGTCATTTTACTTGGATTAATAATCAACACTCATGGAAGAATCAATCAAGAAATCAAACAATGTACTGCATTAAGCAAATCTGCTGCATAAGACATCTTTAAAGTGTTAAACAGCAAAGATAATACTTTTTGAGGATTAAGGTGCACCTGACCCAAGCCATGGTATTTTCAATTGCCTTATATGTATGTGAAAGGTGGATATTGAATAAGGAAGAATAGAAAAGAACTGATGCCTCTGGATTAAGGTTTTGGTGAAGAATATTAAAAGTATCATAGACTGCCAGAGAACAAGCTAACTGTCTTGGAAGAAGTTCAGCACAGCCAGAATGCTCCTTAGAAGCCAAGATGGCCAGACTTTGTTTTTTGTACTTGGGACATGTTATCAAGAGGGAACAGTTCTTGGTAAAGGGTATCATGCTTAGTAAAGTAGAGGGTCAGTGAAAAAGAGGTAAACTCCCAACATGATGGATTGACACAGTGGCTGCAACACTCAAACAAAACAGCAGTTCCGAAGATGGCACAGGACTGGGCAGTGTTTTGTTGGGTTGTACTAGGAGTTGGAACTCACTTGCTGGAGCCTAACAACAATATAAGCAGTGGTTTAAGCACTTTGCCTGCTAACTGAAAGGTCAGTGGTTTGAAACCTCCAACCTCTTCATGAAAGAAAGATGTGGCTATCGGCTTCCATAATGATTCGCAGTCTTGGAAATTCTATGGGACATTTCTGCTCTACCCTAGATTCTCAATGGATTGGAATTGACTCAACAGTGGAGTTGGGGTTTTTTGTTGTTTTGTTACATAAGCAGAATAGAAGGCTCATTCATATGTTCTATATGGTAAAGTCCAGGTGTAGCACTATAGAATAAATACTGGACTGCTCACTACAAGGTTGGTGGTTCAAACCCACCAGCTGCTCCTCGGAAACCCTATACCGGATCGTTATGAGTCAGAATCAAGTCAATGGCACTTAATAACAACCTATGGTAGTGAGGGTGATTATATGCCATGGAGTCAGTTTCAACTCATAGCAGCCCCGTATAGGGTTTCTGAGGCTGAAAATCTTTACAAGAACAGAAAGTCTCATCTTTCTCCCACAGAGTGGCTGGTGAACTCAAACTGCTGACCCTGATGTTACCAGTGCAACTCACAACCCACTTTACCACCAGGATAGCAATATTTTTCTAGCTTTCAATGTTACTGATGAAGATAAGCAATGATTGTTAATTTTAGAAGGTGTCTTTAGTATACACAAGAAATAAGTAGAAGAAAGAAAAATGCTGGGGAAAAAGTAAGTAGTAGAGGAGACAAAAGTTTTAAAGGAATTGGGAACTGACAAAGTGTTGTCAACAACTGTTTTAAGTACCATTCAATACCTTGCAGATGTTTCTATTACTTACAAAACCTTTCCTGGAATCATAATTCAATTAACCCATGACTTTAGAATTGATAAAAGATTTAAACTATTTTCAAAGAACGACCATTACAACAAGATAAAAGGTATATAAACTTAAAAACCCACTTTACTCTTACTAAGAGTTTACTAATATTTGGAGAAAGGATAACTTATTCAAACTTCAAATATTGTGCACCCATAAAGTATCATTTCACAAGGTCCTTCAATAAAAGGCTTCAGAGCAGCTTTTTTTCCTAAATGAAAACATGTGTACATAACAAATTTCATTTCAATGTAATTTGAGGTAGTATTAAAGTCTATGAAATATGCCTGGTAAGACTTTGCAGAAGGTCTATAACTACACCTAAATTCTAAATGGAATCTTCAAACTGGCTTGGTCTACTGTCTACTATCCCATCTGTCTACTTCCATTCCCATGGCTCCTTATTTCTACCGACTATGGCCATCGTCAGAGTACAAACCACTCCAACCTATGACCCTGCACTCATCCTCACCCACTTCAGCATTTCCTTTTCTGGTAGAGGCTTCCCCTTCCAAACTCCTTTAAGGCTCTCCTCTGGAACCCCTTATCTACTACCAGGATCCCCCTATATTTTCTCTTTAATAAAAAGAAAAGCTCTTTTTTTCCTCACTTAAACCAAAAATCTTGTTTAAATGACTCTTCCCTTAGAAATCCTCAGCACCAGCTCCTTCCCTTACCTCCATCTTCCATGTTCCCTACACTCTCTCTTTGGAAGTCCTTATCATAACTATGTTTACAAGTCTCACATACTACCCTACTCAATAATGAGTCATTTATGGACAGAATGTCTTAATAATCTTTACACTACAAATGCCTGACCCACTGCCTAATAAATAATACTCAAAAAAGATTTACTTAGTTAATGAATCTGTTACTGAACCACCTACATTCCACTCAACTCCCTCACTGTAAAATTTCAACGTATTGTTCTCCAATCTCCCTAACTCTGATGGCCCTACTTTCTGAATAGACTGCCTTGCTCCAAATGCCAATCACTATCATTTTCAACTTCCCAGGTATTTCGCCCCTTCCCTCAGGTTCAATGATTCACTGTACTCACAGGCAGCATATCCCTCTACTCAATACCAAAATGTAGTACAGAAAAGGATAAAAAGAAAAGTTAGCAAAGGAAATGGTAAATGGGAAAAAGTCTAGAGAAATCAGGAATAAGCTTCCAAAAGTCCTCTTTCACAGGAGCCACACAGGATGCACTCAATTCCTTCAGCAACAAGTTGTATAAGATGGTGTATACCAAGAATGCTCATTGGAGACTGAATGGGTAAGGTTTTTATTGAAGGCTGATTATGTATAGGCACTCTTTGCCTGTTGTTGTTGTTGTCAGGTGCCACTGAGTCGGAACCGACTCATAGCGACCCCATGCACAGCAGAACAAAACAATGTCCGATCCTGGGCCAACCTCACTACTGCTGTCACACTTGACACCATCAATGATGCCACCTGGCTGATCCATCTCGTTGGGGGTCTTTCTCTTTTTCTCTGATCCTCCATCTTACCCAGCATGACATCCTTCTCCAGCAACTGTTCCCTCCTGACAATATGTCCAAAGTATGAGAGACGAAGCTTAGCCATCCTAGCCTCCAAGGAGCACTCTGGCTGCACTTATTCTAAAACTCTTTGCCTAGCACATACTAAAATTCTAGACTCCCCAAAGGGAAGGAGGTGTTCAGTATAAACCAGTGTTTGCATATACAGTTCAGGCACAGTGAGTTGTCTTAGCAGTTTTAGGAATGCGAAGAACCCACCCAAAATTCAAGTTCCCAGATACCAGCCAAATACCAACACTGCAAGCAACCCTGTCGAGTCTCAGATCTGCTGTGTTAGTTCTTTTCTGCATAACTCCACTCTGAGGATACTGACCACCACTTCAATTTCCTCTCCAGCATGACTCAGCTTATTCACAATTAGTTCAATATTCAGCACCAGGGCTTAACTACTTACTTAGCCTCATTCATCTATTCTGAATAAAGTCACCACTCACTGTGTTGTTGTTGTTAAAGGCCACCAAGTTAATTCCAACTCATAGTGACCCTGGTTTCCAAGGAGCTGTTGGTGGATTTGAACCGCTGGCCTTGTGGTTAGCAGCTCAGTGCTTATTGTACAATGCCACACCATGACTATTAGACCCTACATACTGGATTTTCAACTAAAAAATTTTCCTTTCACCACCACTACCAATTTTTTCATATTCTCACCCTTATCCAATTTGGCTTTGGTCTCTGGTTTAAACTGCTGTTTTTGCTCTCAAACTACTGCAGCCCAGCCTCGCTACATTTCAAAGCTGTATTAACTCCCTTGTGACTTCACATCCCTCCGTATCTAGCAGAACTACATGGATTATCATTTTGACTAGACTTTTAACAAGCACTCTTTATTTTCGGTATCACTATGACTCTTGGGAGTGCAGTGGCTCTGTAGGATACGCAGTGTTGGAGTCCACCAATTGCTCCATACGTGAAAGATGAAACTTTCTGCTCCCAAAAAGATTCACAGTCTCAGAAACCCTACACAGGGTCACTATATGTCCAAACCAACTTGACTGCATTTGACAACAACAACAGTGTCTCTTGCCAACCCATGGTCAATGGAACTGTTTTTGATTCATTTCAATTCCCATTGGATGGAGCTACTAGAGAAAACTCACATAATCATTTTTGTTGTTGCTGTCATTAAGTGGGTTCTGACTCATAGTGACCTTGTATAGGGGGTACCGAGGAGCATTTGGTGGGTTTAATGTTTTATGGCAAGCAGTCTATATGTTACTAATATATTCTTTCCAAATTATTTAACGATGCAGAAAACATCAAGAGAAGATGGAAGAGAGGGAACAAACAAGATGGCGGATCGGGTGAAAGTGCAGTAAGGAGCTCTGTCAGCAACAACACAGAATACCCGAGCAAGCAGGCTCAGAACTCTGAACCACATATAAAGGAATACTTTAAAGGTTGGAAGGCTTACAGCTGGGGAATTTGTGACAGAAATCCATTGCTTTCCAGTTCGAGATGCTCAGCTGTTCCAGGAGCCGCCATCTTGGGTGAGACCAAGCAGGGGAAGGATCAGAGTGGCCACAGAGGCCTGGCAGAACCACGAAGATAAAAATGTGGAC